TGACCAGGGTTGCCGTATGGAGCGATTATAATCGCGCCTCCTCTGCTCCCGGAGACCCCCACTACCGTATTTTGTCCACGCTCACGCTACTCTTGGACATGCGCCTGATGCGCCTACCGGCTTCCCTCGTGGCGTAAGAGTAGCGTAACCGCGGACAAAATACGGTAGTGGGGGTCTCCGGGAGCAGAGGAGGCGCGATTATAATCGCTCCATACGGCAACCCTGGGCCGGTCTCGTATCCTGCAGCCATTTGTGACTTTACGAGTGCGACATCTGCGACGTCTGCGTCTGCGTCCTGTGCGATCTGCTCTCACTTGTTTTATTCTAGAATTGGTGATAATGGTACATAAGAAAACGTGATGTCGAACTATAAGAAAGTGAAAAATACAAGGCATTCAAGACGCAAATCTGTAAAACAGAAGATGCGAAGGCTGCGAATGAGAAAAAGGCAAGCTGTGCCAGATATGACCGAGACAACATCAGGTACATCAAAACAATTTCATGGATACAAAGGAAACGTAACAGACAAAGGAAGCAAATGCAATGTATCGGCATCATTTTCATGCACGTCTCTCGTTCCAATCATTGACGAAAATATTGGAAACATAATGGAATCAGCTAATAGAGAAGAAGACAAAAGGGTAGACAATATAAAAGATGCCTGTGCCGATGAAATGAATGTAACGAGTAACGATACATTGATGTCTGGTAGTTTTCCTGAAGCTTCTATGAATGTTTGTAAAGTAAAAGTAGAAAATGAATCGATGGAAGTGCAAAACGATATAGATGAAAATTAGAGTAGGCTCACTTAATACATTTTTTCTGTTAACACGGCTTGCAGCGACACTCAACGAAATGTATTAAAAGTAAAGACGGAATAGCGAGTACAGATTGAAATTTAAAAATCCATATTACTATACTCTATACTTATATTTTTATTATTATCAAAATTGGTGTGAAATAATAATGTACAATCTGTGAAATGTAAAAAATATGTTTATTTATGTATTTACAATACATACATTACATAACATGTACATTATTGAAACCCAGTAAAAAATTTGAGAACTTCAGCTGTCTCGCATCCTTTTTTAGCCATTTTATATGTCTTAAAACCATTTGTCATCTCTGAAAAAACAATAATTTATGTATTGTACAGATCGACAATATGAATTTCAAATATTTACGTATATATTGTATTACACCTACCAAGTCTGTTTTATATCAAATATGTAATTGCTGATAATTTATATTATCATAATACATGATCAAAATCATTTATAAAACCCTTTGCGGAGGCAGACTAGTTAGAAATACAATTTTAAGTTAGACTGTTATGATACAAAATTGAAGTTGTGCATTGCACAATTCGCTAATAGCAGACGACACGTGACACAGCAGGTCGGTGGCCGGTAGGTGCATGCATGGAGATAAGACACATAGAGGAGGTGAGCCGTGCCAATACCTGTCTCTCCTGTTAGAGAGAGAAAAAAGATCGGTTACCCAGTCTGTCCTTGTCTAATGGCACAACCCCATTAGAGAAGAACAGACAGTACAACGGATTCCCTTTCTCTTTCTATCGCGGGACGTTTTCATTTGCAGAGGTCCCTTTTGACTCACCTCTTCTATGTGTATTATCTCTATGGGTGCATGCCATGAGTAGCGTAGGTGGGGAGAAATAGTAGTGGGGACAGCAGTGGATGTGGAGAAGTCCCTCGATCTGGCAACCCTGGGTTTCGCACGAAGACGAGAACATAGGCCGGTGCCGGTATTCAGAGTCGTTCCTTATTCTTAAGGTCGTCTTAAGCATTTGCTTAAATCCGTGTTCCCTGTACAAGACAAGGACTGGAAATATGGGATAGACAGGGATAGCAAATTCTTAAGAATAAGCAACGAATCTGAATACCGGCCATAGACATTGATCGTATGCGTTCTAATGAGATCAATGGACGAAGCATCGTCGGTATTGGACATATTTTTGTAGAATTCCGTAGATTGTCTGAACATCGAATCAACGTATGCCCACAGCCAACTCTAATACTATTGGTTTGGTTAGGTTAGATTAAGTTAGTTTCTCACTGTTTCGAGAATCTAGGACCGTTTCACGCAGCATGAAAGGTGATGGAGATCGCAGCGAACGTCTCAGACCTCCGTCTAAAGTCAGTCTCCGCCTCCATTAACCATGGTTCAGTATTCACGATAAAACAACAGGACGGATGAATAGGCAGGATAGAGAATTGTAGACATGAATAAGAACTGCGCATTTACATACGTAAAATAGTCAAACATTTAATATTTTCAAAAAATATACATATGTGTAATATAAATATTTAAATATTAACAAACAATATGTCCAAAAATGTGAAGGTCTTTAATATAGCATCATTCAGTTTCGGAATCAATTCCGCCGGAATCATCGGACTGATTATCCATCCAGGGTTCACCTTCGTCTAACATGTCGTCCGTGATGTAGTCAAGCTGACGCAACTTAGTTTCTACTTCCGTTGTATGCATGATTAAATTTTGCCATGACTCGGCGTTCACATTTTTCACGGCTGATTCAACTAAGTGTTCAACATCTGGTAACATGTCCATTGTACTTTGAGCTCGGATGTATTCTTTTATTTTTGCCCATGCCAATTCAATGGGATTCAATTCCCAATGGTACGGGGGAAGGCGTACCACAGTATGTCCAAACTGCTTTGCAAACTCGTCAACGACATAATTTCTGTCGTCCGGGCGCTTATGCTTCTCAACTAATTTAAGTAATTGCACCTTTACATAGTGTACAGACTGCAGCTTTTCCCCCTTACCTATCAGCCACGTAATTATATCGTTTTTCTTCCAATCTAAATTTGGATAATTTTCAATTATCATATTGTGGAGTGGAGTATCGTCCATCACAATAACTGCCCGATCTCTTAGCATGGGCAAAATCTTCCTGAACCACGTAAAAAATGTATAGTTGTTCATTTCCTTAAGATAATCGTCAGAATCTGTTTTGGATTGGCAACAAAGGAGAGCTCCAGGTAGAAATCCGTCCGATGACCCGACGTGTGCAATAAGCAACCGGTCTTTGTTGCAAGAGGTCTCAGGATTGCTTATCGGCAGTTCGCTTTTTACCGGGGAGTCTGCAACGTTAATCGAAGTTTCATCTAAATAATATATTGGACGCCCTTCTGTTCGATATCGTTGAATGTCCTCAATGTATTGTTGTCGCCAGGCGACAATGTAGTCCTCCTCGATTAAAGCGTTATTGTGACAACGAATTATGCATTTGAATTCCAATTGCTTTAATATCCGATACATGGACGACTCACTGAAGGACGGGAGCTGCGGGTCATCATTTACAGCTTTCCATATTTTTTTCACGTTCGGAATTTCGCGAGAGAACCAACAATCATGTACCTTCTTGCGTATACTAAGTACTTCTTCGTCAGACAATTTTTGAAAAATTTTTACGCGCGGTCTCGTCCTGTTTGGCGAGGTTACTCTGCCTGTAGATTTATATTCAGAAATTGTCTTCTGTATTGTTGTTTTACCAATTCCCGTTTCCTTCATTAGCTCAATTATCATCGATTTATATCTTGGAATTGGCTTTTTGCTCATCATATGTTTGTAAAGGTTTATAATTCTCATTCTCTGAGATGATCCGACGAACTATAAAAAGAACAAAGTTTTGTACGCGTAAGTACACCACAAAAATGATTTAAAATACATATTTTATGTAAAAGAAATAATATTTTTTCGTGTTTACAATATCGAAGTGTAGACAATGAGATATATATTCTTACCTTTCCCGATGTATTTTTTTTTGTTGCAGGCATGCTAGATTTTCCAGATCCTTTCTCTATTTCCAAATCCTCAATACAATATACAATAAGCACAAGGAAATATTCAATATTTGGAAAAATTCGGAACTTTCGAAACTCACAAAAACTCTGATTCACTACATACGTTTGGAACACTGAGGAACATTCTATCCACTCTATTGGGAATTGACACATTTACCATGACCTCTCGTGGCGAGCAGAAGAACTAGACAAAGCCAGGCGCGCCAGGCGAAAGCATTGTTTGGCACAGCAATTTTCGTTAATCTTGTATTTTTCATTAATGAAATAAGTGCGAGGGAGATTGGCAAGTTTATATCACGTAAAAAAAGTACCAACTGGGATTATTGTGCAGTGAAAAATTGTGGGAGCAGAGCAAATAAAAATTCACATCTCAGTTATCATATGCTTCCCTCGCGCAAACGAACGCTTTGTAAAGAGGCAGAATGTATTTGGCAACTCTAAAAAGATAGATCTCTCCAATGCATGGAAAAATGCTTTAAAAATCAGCAACATTACTAAAAGAACAAGTATGATTCCTGGTTTTGTGTCGCCATGATTGTTAGCTATATCTATTGGTCCCGTATGGATCTGAAGGACGGAGCATTGCTTGCGGTATTTTGTGACAGAAAACGGAAAGTATACGAAGTACAGAATTGGAGTTACTACTATTCCACTACCATACGTGTGAACCGTGATTTGAAATTGCCGCTGTTTGGTCACGTGATGGTCCTGAAGGCGGAGCTTGGCTATCTCATACATAGAGATAGTATACATAGAGTACAGAAGCCAACCGCAAACGTGAGTCGCAAAT